AAGGAGCTGCTCATGAGTTTCAAGACTATTGATATTCTTGATGAGTTCTTCAGTTTTCCTAACTCTTCCTGCCTTTTGTTCTGGTACTCATCTTTGCGATTATCCTTCAAACTCTCTTCAAATTCACCTCACTTCTCTTGAGTTATGGAACCAATATACTCATTTGGGTCTCATCAGTAGTGAGCATAACAGCAGGATAANGGTACTCATCTTTGCGATTATCCTTCAAACTCTCTTCAAATTCACCTCACTTCTCTTGAGTTATGGAACCAATATACTCATTTGGGTCTCATCAGTAGTGAGCATAACAGCAGGATAACCTTACTATTTTTGAAAATAACTGGCAAAATTTCAAAACAGAGAGGCTTGACACTTCCTTACATCATTTCAGCTGCTATTTCTTATTCCAGGAGAGTCTGTCTCTCAAAATTGCAACTAACCACAAGCCTTCAGTTATTTTTGACATAAAAATAATCTTGAACTAGAGTTTAAATCCCAGAGTGTTGCTCCTTGAAACTTTAATTCTCTTAAATGCCACAGATCTACTGCACCCCCTCCCAATTGCTTGGCCCATGCATATGCAGAAATCTCTGCAGGATGAATGGCACCATCATCACAGAGCCAATTTCTTCAAAAGAAAGATGCATCATTTTTTTCCTCTGCTTTACAAATTCCAGTTTCTAAATATTTATCTGAGGGATATTAAATGTTTTGCTCAAGATGCCTAAAAGTTTGGTCATCTTTCAGATTCAAGAGAACGAACCTGGAACAGCTTCCAGGGAACTAGCCTAGAGGAAACTGACATAAGATACTGGTGGCATTTGAAACTCCTAATACATTTTGAGACAGTTGCATCCCCTGGGGTCTCTTGCCTCAGGATCCTTGTCAAAACACTGGAATAAGTACTCTTTGATTTCATCACTTCAAAATTGATCTTTCCAGACACTAGGTCTTGAGGGAAAATCTTCAAATGGTGTGCCTTAGGGGGCTGTAAGCCCTGAGTCTAAAAGGGGACCTTTCACTTCTCATCAAAATATGGAGAGAGCCATTTCTTCCACTGCTTATATGCACCTCCAAATTAGGAGACATCATCATGACAGAATATAAAACATTTAGAGTTCATTTAAAATTATGACTACTTTTTTCATAGAAGCAATATTTAAAACTTAAAATGTATAAATTACTATATGATGAGATCCCCAGGTAAACAGAAGGAACATGGCTTAATGTCACTCTAATCTGTCTTCAGATAATTGCTTACTAGTTACACCCTCAAGCTGACATTTTATTTAAATTAAACTGAATACATGGGCCATAGTATCTATGTCTCTTGGCTAAATGATGAAAAGCATGTAGCCTCTGACCTTTAAAATATTTTCTTTTGGCAGGGAGTAACACTCAGGAAATGTTCAAACAACATGTTGAATAACAAAAAAGTTCTCTGAGCAAACACAAATCATATTCATAATATTTTTAAAAATTACTCTGATAATTACAAACTTTCAATGTCCTTAATCACACTCACCAATGCCTTTCTTTACAAGGATATGGGCCCCTACAAGGACTTCCTGGGTGGCTTAGTGGTAAAGAATCAGGATGTGATGCAGGAGACACTGGTTCAATCCCTGGGTCTGAAAGATCCCCTGAGGAGGGCATGGCAACCCCTCCACTATTCTTGCCTGGAGAATCCCATGGACAGAGGAGACTGGCAGGCTACAGTCCATAGGGTCACAAAGAGTAAGACATGACTGAAGTGACTTAGCACGAATGGGCTCCTATAAGTTTACAAGGAAATCCAACTGCTTCCTGGAGATCTTGAAGCCCCTCTGCCCAGCTCCATGACCTTGGATGATTCCTCACCTGAATGGGATTACTTCCTGGCTTTTCCTACCCCTAGAGTGGCTTCCGATAGCCCTTGACAACTCCTTGACTCCAAATATGTCAACTGAGTCTGACATATTTTCCTGAGTGATGCTGGTTCCTTAATTCTTTAAGTCCCCTGGAGGAGGAAATGGCAATTCACTCTAGTATTCTTGCCTGGAAAATTCCGTGGACAGAGAACCCTGGCGGGCTCCAGTCCATGGGGTTGCAGAGAGCTGGACACGACTGAGCACAGCACAGGGACCAAGAAACCACTAGCTAATGGAGGGTATCTGCTTTTACGGACGTTCTCAGCTGAGGTCTGAGCATCTTAATGACTTCAACTCCAGATCCTCTGCAGTTTTCCATCAACTCTCTGGATTCCCATCACTTCTATTTATATATATTTTAGTATTTTGTTATGAACAGATAAATTAGTAATAAATACACATTAAAAAGTTTCAGCCACTCACCAGTGTCAAACAAAACAGTTTGAATTTTTAGGAATACTAGTAAAAACAACAGTATGCAGCTCTTTTCAATGATGATACTTTTCCAAAGTAGGAAAAAATTATTTACTGTGAATTTCCATATAAGGGGTAAGTTTTGAGAAACACAGTCCTATTTTAAGTGATTTTTTTTAAAGATGAGAAAGTAATTTTGCATGAAAACTGCTCAATTTATATTAAAGTAGCCCCCCCTTTTTTGGGTAATCATTTTGCCAAGATGAGATCAATTTAGGAATTTCAAGTATCATATCTCCTAAAACTAGCTTTCAAGTTAAGTTGGAGAAACAAACTGGAATGTGAATCCATGGGATGCTGGTTGTTACGGTAAAAGGTAATATACAGACTTTGAAGAAGAAGAGTTCACCCAGCAGCCCCTCTTCTCCCTCTGAGGGTCATTCGACCCTCTGTGCATTTTTTTAGAACCAAATGAGCTTAGAAGCACCAGCAGAGTTCTTGTCTCTTCTCCCTTTACATGCTCTTATTTCCAGGACTTGAATTGCTTTAAAACAATACGAAATGCCACCAAATCTCCAATCAGACAACTCCTGAAATCCAGACTGCCTCAGACCTCCTGGAGATCCCTCCCAATCATTTCTCTTGGAGTCCATCTAAGAACCTCAGATTCTTCATGTTCAAATACTACTCAAGACTTCCCCTCCATTAACCCCACCTACCCCAAGTCCTACTTCTAGGAGCAATACCAAAACTGGGCTCTTTACATACGTTGATCCATTCTGCCTTTTCCTGGAATAATAAATCCCTCAGATATCTAGCTGGTCACATGGTTACCTTCCCTGTAGTGAGGTGTGACTATGCAAGAAAGAGAAATGTTCCCTTCCAAGCCCATGCTTTCCCACTCTGTTGACAAAATGTAATCCTTTCCCTATCTATTCTCCTTCTCAGAAAAGCCAAATTCATCCTTCTAAAAAAATCCTCAAATTAGGTCATTCTGTTGCTCTGATGGGGTTCAGGGCAGGCTGCCCCAGAATGTGCCACTTTGGCACATAGATTATGTTCATCTGAAGACAATTAAAAAAACAGTCTCATGAAGAGTTTTTTATTTTTTTATTTTTTATTTTTATTTTTTGATAAGGAAGCTGTGGTACATATACACCATGGAATATTACTCAGCCATTAAAAAGAATTCATTTGAATCAGTTCTAATGAGATGGATGAAACTGGAGCCCATTATACAGAGTGAAGAAAGCCAGAAAGATAAAGACCAATATAGTATCATGAAGAGTTTTTTTACCTCCCACTTAATCACCTAAAAGAATTTAGATGGACAACTCAGTCCAGGGAAAGAACGACCACCAGGGATTATAATAAGAGTGTGAGCTGGTATAAGAAGCTGGGGGGAGCCTGGGAGGGCTTATTTGTTCAAAATCATTGCCTCCACCCAGCATGGAAAACGTTTGTTTACCAAACATTTGCTCTTCCCACCCTCCTGTGAATAGTCTTCCTTCTCTTTGAAGCCCCAGACCCCTCCTGTCTTCTACTGAGCTCAGGGTGGCACACAAGTGTCAGCTGCCTGACTGTCTGAGAGCTTCTCACGTCTACATGAGATTTCTATACATATAAAGTTAAATTTGTTTTTCTCCAGTTAACCTATCTTATGTCAATTTAATTACTAAACTAGTCAAAAGAACCTACAAGGGTAGAAGAAAAATCTTCCTCCCTTCCAGTTCAAAGTCTTACAATGGCTTCCCAGGTCAATTAGTAAAAAATCCAAGGTTCTTACCATTGTCTACTTGGCCTCACTAAGTAGCACTAGGGCCTTTTTGATGCTGGTCCCCCTGGCTGGGCTTCTTCTGATTTCTCTTCCAATATGACCTTAACAGACCTTACTAAAAAGGACTTTCTTGAACACTCTATAGAAGAACACTGCCCCTTGCCATGATTCTCTGTTTCCTTAATACATTTAATAAGAGTGATTTCCCTTGACATTGTATATTTACATATGTTCCTTCTGTCTGCCCCTTACTTAGGATAGAACCTTTATGAAGGCACAGAATTTTCTATTTGCTGTCATAACCTCACAGTACCTAAAAGAATGTCTGGAACAGAGGATGTAGTCAATAAATATTCCAGTTTTAGGATCTCTCAGAAAGAGGAAGCATACTCTTTTTGAAGACATAGTATATGTTTGGTAAAGTGTGAAAGTGAAAGTCGCTCAGTCATGTCCGACTCTTTGCAACTCCATGGACTATGCAATCCATGGAATTCTCCAGGCCAGAAAACTGGAGTGGATAGCCTTTCCCTTCTCCAGGGGGATCTTTCCAACCCAGGGATCAAACCCAGGCCACCTGCATTGCAGGCGGATTCTTTACCAGCTGAGCCACAAGGAAAGTCCAAGAATACTGGAGTGGGTAACCTATCCCTTCATCAGAGGATCTTCCCGACCCAGGAATTGAACTGGGGTCTCCTGCATTGCAGGTGGGTTCTGAGCTATCAGGGAAGCCCTTGGTGAAGTGCAAGAAATTCCAAATACAAAATAATTTTCCTATATTTGTGGAGTGAGTTGAGGTTTTTTGTTTTATTTTTATGCCCTTTAAATTTTATCTCAAAATTTTTTTCTCTTTTTGGCAGCACGATCTTAGTTCTCTGACCAGGGATCAGACCCAAGCCCCTTGCATTGGAAGGGCAGAAATCTTAACCACTGGACTGCCAGGGAAGTCCCAAGCTTATGTTTTTTTAATGTAGCATTTTCAAAAGTCTAATTCATAGGTGCTGCTATTTCATAATTTTTTTCCACTAACTAAAACCACTCTAACCAGAGATATTTACATTTTTATTCATGTTCTTATCACTGTTTTATACAAATGTTTACTTAACCTAAACTTGAATGCAAATCTCTCTGTGTACAACAGAAGTGCTCAAAGTCAAGGCAACAATTGGCTCTATAAATATTTTATTACTAATCATTCCTCTTGCAACTAAAATTTATGAAACTCCAATACAGAATCCTCCCCTGGGGCAGGAGGGGATACTGAGAAAAATCTCATTTTTTATTTTTCAACAAGGCAAATTAGTGACATTCAAACAAATCACATTTTAATTCTAATTGTTATTAAAAACTCCCTTGGAGAGAACTGGTGAGGTCTACATTATTTTAAAATAAATTAAAAAGTATCATCTAAATATATCTTCAGCCTTTACTCTTTGAGCTAAATTTTTAATTATGACTTAATCAATGGTGAATTTAACATAAGAGTGGGGCCAGAGTCATAGGGTCTTTAATTTGACTGTCAAAAACATTGAGCAAATAAGATTTCAAGGCAATATTAACTGTCCTAAGAACACACGATGACTTAAATGACTTTAGAGGTGTCTGTGTTATTGCAACTTGTTATGCTCAGTGAGTATCATTCCTTTTTCACCTTGTAACACCATCAAAATATCATCAATACTTTGCTACCTGAATTTTAGTTATATACTATGTATACATCAAAACCAATAAATATCTACAAGTCATGACTTCCTATTAATTTAGTACACATGAGTAGTTTTATAGTATTTTAGTGAAAGAATCTTATGAAAAGGGATTAATATTTTTTAAATATTGAGAAAACAAAGATCACTTGTTGATAAATTAAAAAAAAAAAACTAAGAGAAGACTTAAAGTAACTGTAGAATTTTAAACCGAATATAGAAAAGACTACAGTAAGGCAGACTCTAAGACAAAAGATACTGAAAGACATACCTTCTTTCCAAATTGTAGTGGCAAAATAATAAAAATAACAGTTTTTTAAAGTTAAAAACATATTAATTAAAAATTAATTATCAGCTTTTTGAGTTCATCTATTTACTTATTTAGTAATTAAACAAAGATGTATTAAGTGTCTACTCGAGGCCCCCTCTTAAGTACTGGCAGCAGAAAACAAATATTATAGGATTCTTGACCATGGGGTGTGTAAACAACACATCCTCAGCAAAAAGACTACCATGTGCTACACTAGTGTAGCTCACTCTCCATGCACTCATCTGTGACTTTAGTCCTCCACAGGAATTCTTAAAACTCACTTACTCATTGTTTCTGGAATGCTTACATATTATGTGTCAGAATGTGAAGTATGTAAAGATCAGTCAGGTCTCCTGTTGGTCTGTTGGTGGGGAGCCCTCACTCTGGCATATAAAAGCTGTGTGACCTGGAGTTAAGACATTTCACAGTCTCTGGGGACATCACTTTTTTCATTTTTTCATTTTATGTCTCTCAAATTTATACGTAAATTTGAACCAGTAAGGGCCTTGGTGAGGTCTGAATTAAAATCACCATTCTCCAAACTCTTACCATAGCCAGGCATTCCTCTCATATCTAATTGAATCCTTTCAACAGAGTCTGTTCATAAAGTGGGCCTGATGACCCTTATTGGCAGAATGAATGGGAAATCAGAGGATGTGATAAGTCGAGACAGGGAAACACAATTTGTAGGTTTTAATCCAGGTCTTGAATCCAGAGCTGCTGAGTGCAAAACTGATGCTTACATCAACTATACTGCTTACTACGTGGAAGTACTGCTAAACCATAGATACACCAACATAGAACACTGTAAGTCTTAAAGGATAATCTTAGAATTCAAATAGACAGAAAATAAAACATTAAATATTGCCCTGAGAATGGAGTTTCAATAAAATTGAAAAAAAAAAAAAAGTCATTGGATCTTTGCATGGTAAAATATTTGAGGGAAAAACCCAAGACAATGTGTTTAAGTTAATGGGAAATACACATACATATACACACACACAGAGTTATACACTAATTATATACATTATTACTTACCAGTTACCAGTCCCTTCTGCACATAGCTCAGTGAAAAAGTATTACAATATATATATATATATATTTTTTTTTAAGTAAAAGAAGGTATAAAAATTTTTTTTTTTCAGACTGGCAACCACTTTAGAAGCAGAGAGTTTATGGGTTACTGTAAAGCACTAAGCATGGCATGACGCACTAACAGTAGTATTTGATGGTGGTAAGAATATAAGGTGGCACTAGTGGTAAAGAACCCGCCTGCCAATGCAGGAGACATTTAGAGATGAGAGTCCGATCCCAGGGTCGAGAAGATCCCCTGGAGGAGGGCATGGCAACCCACTCCAGTATTCTTCCCTGGAGAATCCCATGGACAGAGGAGCCTGGAAGGCTATGGTCCACAGAGTCACAAAGAGTCGAATACAACTGAAGAGATTTAGCATGCATGCATATATATTTCTTAAGTGCAACTGATTAAAAGAGGTCACATTTACATTACTAAAGACAGGTTTTTTATAACTTTGTGATATGAAGACCACAGATTTGTTTCCTGTTCCATTCTAAACAGTTTGAAACTTAGAATGGATTTAACTATGTAGTGAAATGCTCTTTTAAAGTATATCTATTATAAGTATCAGTATGCTCTAATTTCCTCATAAAGATGATGCTCTGATATTATCACATGATGTTATTGTTCTGGAACATTCCAGAATACAACTGAAGAGATTTAGCATGCATGCATATATATTTCTTAAGTGCAACTGATTAAAAGAGGTCACATTTACATTACTAAAGACAGGTTTTTTATAACTTTGTGATATGAAGACCACAGATTTGTTTCCTGTTCCATTCTAAACAGTTTGAAACTTAGAATGGATTTAACTGTGTAGTGAAATGCTCTTTTAAAGTATATCTATTATAAGTATCAGTATGCTCTAATTTCCTCATAAAGATGATGCTCTGATATTATCACATGATGTTATTGTTCTGGAACATTCCCTCATAGAAACAATACTGATGAGTAATCTCTGAACCCAGCATCAGAGGTGCACCGGTAACATCAGCTTCCATTAAAAAAATTATTAGCAAATAAAGTCAGAGATCAAATATAAAACATGTAGATACTTTCTTAGCAAAAGCAAACCAATTATTTATTCTAGGGCATTAGAAAACATATCTCACAACTCATTAATTTTCCTCCAAATTACTATAATTATTAAAATACAGTATTAGTAAAAAAAATCCAAAATAATGTTCCAGGTAACCCAGCACATATTAGGCAATCAATACAATTTTATTTAACGAATGGACAATATTTGGCCTTAAGTGATAGCTTTTTTCTTAACACCTTAAATTTTTCCAAGTTCCTATATTAATAAGTGGAATGTGAACTTTAATTAATAAGAAAAGTGTAGTGAAAGACATTACATCTTTTAAAAGTATTAAAGTTTTTGGAGTCACCTTCTGAAACAATACATTTTTCTCTATCTGGCCTTTTTCCCAACTAAAACAGGGTGAGAGTGTGAAAGCTCAAGTTAATGAAACTCATTCCCAATCTTTTTGGATGCTCCAGACTACTGGGCAAATTAATTTATTGCATCATTTCCCTAGCTGCTAGGGAATGATAAATCAGGAGGGATTCATGGATCACTTAGTATTTATTTAATATACAATAAAGCATTTGTTTAGTGACTCATTTGTACTGCCATTAGGAAATACTATGATGAATAGGATATTGGTGACAGTCCTCAAAGAATTCAGTCTTAGGGGAAAACAATCAAGAAAATCAATAAGTTCCAATACATAGCTATAAGTGCTAGGCAACCATGAAGCTAGCAGGGGTTGGGGGAAGAACATGGTGAACTCTGCCTGGGGAGAAGATGAGTAGGGCACAGGGAAAGACATCAATGGACCATGGAGATTTCATTTGGATCTTGAAAATGGATAAACATTTGGAAGGAAAGTAGGTTCAGTGTACTCCAGGCAGAGTGATGAGGAGATGCAAGCAATTTCCTGTATAATTTTCAGGAAACACACAGTGGAGTGAGGAGTATATACAGGAGTCATGGAAGAGACTAGATTATATGACCTTTCACAGAAACTCAGTTGTGAAACCAGTTGAGTTTCCTCCTCTGTTATGAACACCAAACACGGTTTCACACATTGCCCAATATCCTCCTAGGGAACAAAATCATTCTGATTGAGAAGCACTGGTTTAGAGAAAAAGGGTTATGCTTTAAAAAAGAGAAAGTTCTGGTATCACAGTTTACCCTTCTTATTAGTAAGGCAGATAGGAATGATTCATGACATTATTTCTCTCTAACACATTTTTCTTTGTTATATGTAAAGAAAGGCTACTACTTATCTCACAGGGTGACTCTGAAGATTAAATAAGATATTCTGAAGAGATATGTGTTAGGGGACTCAAAGAGGGACTGGCCCATGACAGTGCCTTGTAAATGTGAGATGGGCCAGATTAAAGGGGAGACTCAACTGTGTCAATTGCTTTGCAGAGTACAGATAATCAGTTTAGTTTGAAACAGTTTTTGTTAGTTGAAAAATGTCCAAGAAAGATAGCTTTCAGCACCACCAGGATCATATTTTGTTCACAACTCTGAGACGGGCTCTCACATTTTTTAAAATCTTTTTTTTTCTAAATAGGAACTAAATATTTTACAACCAGAAGTTAATTCAGAATACCCTCAAAGTGATAAGTAACTCATGGAAGTATAACTTAAGTTGAGATTTTGGCCACTCATTACTTGGTTCTATTTGCCATCATTGTTTTTTTACTACTGTGTGTAGTTTATAATGCAGTATTTGGAAATAAGCTATATGTTAATATAATTATATAAGTCATTTACCAGGAAGATAGAGATTTAGTTTTTAAATGACTTTTTAAAATAGATCTATATCTGCTAGGTTTTCAAACTGAAAATGTCTTCAATCTTTTAAGACCAGAATCCATGATACTAGGCATTCTTAACTCCCTTTATCCTACAGAATGTTGCTTGCAAAATATGACTCCTTTTTCTGTTTAAAATAATTAAATTGTATGCCATGCTTTTAGAATATTAACCACAACAATTTTTATATTGCAAAGGATTTGATAGAAGATTTAAAATCAGGTAGATTTCAAGAGCAGGACAACGATATAAAGCTTGTGCCATGAATCCACAAAGTTGCTATCTCAGAAAATAAGCAGCACTTAAATGGCAACCCATTCCGGCAACCCATTCCGGCCTGGAGAATGTCATGGACAGAGGAGCCTAGTGGGCTACAGTCCACGGGGTCACGGAGAGTCAGACACGACTGAGTGACTAACACATTTATTCTCTTAGTTCAATGGTCTCAAAGAAAATATAGACTTATTTTTTTTTCCCCAAAAGCTCAAAGAGTAAGAAATTAAAGATACACCTATAAGGTAGTAGCCAATATCATAAATAAAAACAGTGTTAGGCAAACACATAATTTTATGCCAAAGGAAAAAACTACCAAAATTTAAATCAATAAAATGCTCAACTTTTGTGAGACCCTAGTCAACAATTTTGTAACTATAGCTTCTACTTGATTTCATAAAACAGCATTTAAAATTTAGTGTTGATAGTGGTAAAAAACAAAAAACAAATTCAAGATCTCTGAGCACATTGAGGTTCAAAGGCCAATGGAATTCACAATATAAATTCAGACTTCAATGGTCTTGTTTCAATCGTCTGTGAAACACAACCATAAACACAAATAAAAAGAGGCTGATGATAAATACACATAGTTCAGGATAGCTATATCTCATTCCTCCATTCATGATCCTCAAATATGGGTCCAATGGTCCCATAGTATGATAAATACTCTTTTCCCTTCTATTCCTATCAGGTATGTAATTTCTCTTTTTACAGAATGCGTATTTTAATGTTAGGCAAATATATCTTTTTTCAACAAAATTTGGCTTTAGTCCCCAGTAAACCTAGAGTCAAGTCTGATGATCACCACAGCAACTGTTGGTCTGCCTAATTGTGATTGATATTTATTTCTCTTGATTCTAAATTTCAAAGTGAAATTTCATATCCTTCTGAGAAAAATAATTTTATGTATGAAGGGCTAATATGATCATCACAGCCATTTGGACCATCTACTCATTTTCTAAAATGCAAAAGTGAAGCAATGCAAAGCATATGGATTTTAACTGGTCTGAGCTTTGCCAAGAAAAGTCAAAGATTGAATAGATAAGTAGATGGAGGCATAGGACTAATTCAAGCACTTCCTAGAGAGCTTACTTGGGCGGCATATTGCCTGACCAGACAACACTAGGCTCTGCTCAGTTGTAAGTGCAGCTGTTTCTGTACTAGACTAGTATTTACCAAGATACTGTAGTATTTTACTCTTAATGCCCCACATGCCCCTAGCAAAGTTTTTAAAGATAAGGTACCTGAAACAGGAGTCTTTAAACTAGAACACCCTCTTAGCATGGCAGTTAAAAAACATTTTAAAGATGAAAACTTCAGTGAAGGAGAAAGGGAAGTGAACAGCCATGCCTTAATGAAATCAGGATGAGCTGCTCACCAAAATATTAGATTTGCTGGCCCTTTGACTTTGTCCAAATCCTTTAAAAATGATGCCCATCTCTCTCTGCTTCCACAGAGCATACCAGATATAATATCAGCTCTGATGAATTACCATTTTTATTGGTCATTATTTTATATATCTAGTTCACTGGCTAAGTCAGTTCCTAGCTTCGGTACAATTTCATCTGCTTGTATCTAAAATTAAAACACATTTGCATTATTCATCATTCATTGCACAAACATTTACTAAAGTCTAATATGGTTCAAGCATGCAGGATCCTGGAAGAATATATCTTTTGTTCCAAAATGTTCATTCTCAAAAGTCAACACAAAGTGCTAGAGGAATGATAGGAATAAGAAAAAGTCTGATATAATAGCAAATATCTATGACAAACATGCATATTTTTGAAGTTATTTGATATATACATATAACATAATACATATCTTCACAATCAATCCAGCATCCCTATTGTTCCTGCCCTAAAATAAATATAGGATACATTTACCTTTTACTTTAGATTTTTAAAAATGAATCCTAATTAGTTTAGGGAACTTCTCTGATTAAAGTGAATTAATGGCAAGTGAAAAATAATAGTAGAAATACAATGTGAGCTATGCTCAACCCAGGGTTCATTTCAAACACATTAATTTCCTTCTCAATAGCTGTTTCATATGGTGACAATAAGACAGACCCTCTGTCCAAATCCCAGGCACTCAGTGATACAAAGAATTTAGAAAAATGGATTTATCTTACTGGAAAAGATTTCCATGTCCTAATGTAAAACCTTAAAACATAATGGTCATTACTGCCCAAATCCTTTCAAGCGATTTCTAAAATGGCATGAAAAGAATCTGTGGCCTTATTATAAACCTATTCACCACAAAGAAAAATTATACACATGGTCAGTTCATCTTGATTCCCAAAGGAAAAACAAAGGCATCTCATTAACAAGCACTGTCCTGTATTTGGGGCTTCCCTGGTGGCTCAGAGAGTAAAGAACCTGCCTGTGATGCAGGAGACCTGGGTTCAGTCCCTGGGTCAGGAAGATCCCCTGGAGAAGGGAATGGTTACCCGCTCCAGCATTCTTGCCTGGAGAATTCTGTGGACAGAGGAATTAAACTCTAGGGGTGCTTAGTGAGTATGTGCTTGTGCCTCTCTCTGTATTTTGTTTTCCACTTGTCCTCCAAAATAAACATTTAGGAAAGAAGTGAAATGTCAATTGTTTCTTTAGATGTAAGACAGCTCTGCCCAGGCATATTATTTGGGTAAGCTAGGACCCTAAGGTAAAGTGGATGACTGTGTCTCAGGCATTAATTCAACACCTCAGGCTACAACATCTTTATTGGTCTCTGTTACCTGAATGCCATAGGCACATTTTTGTCTTAACACAACTCCTTGAACTTTTTATAACGTCAGTAGTGAAGCATTGATGGTTTTATATTGAAGAAAATAATTGTCACTTGTATGAAATAAAACTTGATTACCGTGTGCACAAGAGGTACTCACATGGACACAAGTTCCACTCAGCTTCAAAGCAGTTTGTATTTATTGATTTATTTTTAAACTCAGAATAAAATAACATCACAATATGTCAGAAGATGTCTTTTATGAAAATCTTCTGTGCCACCTTATCTTCTTCCCTTGCAATGGGAAGCATACCATCTCCAGTTATGGGTTGGGTGGAGTCTAAAGGAAAGACTCCAGTAACTACCTCTATGGCCCACAGCACCATTACACAGTCATTTTGAAAAAGAAAAGTCTCCACTGCAGCTCAAATAAATAACTGGATTGATGTTATTTTTTGGTGACAAGGAGGAACTGTGTGTCAGAGCAGCAAGAGAGATGATTCCATGTATAACTACTAACCCTGACAAATACACATCCCTAGTTCAGTTAGTACGCCTAAAAATGTACTAGCATCAACTTACTTTGCTGGGTGGATCATACAACTAGGAAGAAGTGACATTTAATAAATACTGGTGGCTGTGTGCTAGCATTAAGCTTATAACACTGTCACTGCCAGGCTATAAACCCCCTTTGCTCCTGGCAGCAGTGTGACATCAGGACACTGACTGGGTGGCAATTTGTAAAAGTCAGGGACGCTTTTGGCCCATGGGTCATGGCCTGTAGGCGTAGGCAGGCAGACGATACTGTCAGATTAGGCAACAGGCCTCCTGTGGGCCGCCTGCATTTGCTTCTGATATTTAATTCTCCAATGACTTAATCCTAACAGCTTCAACTCAGACTCTTCATTTAACCAAGGTATCAAAGATTCTCATCAGCTGTTATCATTATTGTTATTATTATTGAAGAGGTTTAAGCATGCATTAACTAGGTATGTCTCAATTCTGAAACAGTGACTCTGGCTGTTGCATGGGGATGGAACTGAACAAAGATGAGAACAGAAAGGAGAAGGTGATTTAGCGATGATGGAAGAAAACTGTTAAGACCAGAAAGTGGTGAGTATGACTTGGACTCAGGGCATGGCCATTGCCATATAGGGACAGAGGAAAATGTTAGGGCAGTGGTTCTAAACCTTGGTTGCATATCAGAATCATCTGAAGAACTTTCTAGTTTTGAAGCCCAGCTCTACACTCAGAACTATTGGCTTAATTTTCTAGGTACAGCCTAAGCACCCAGGAAATTGTCTTTTCACAGTGAGGGCTGAGAACCACTGGGTGGTCACAGCAAGGCTTTGGGGACTTGATGGGTTAGCTGTGGAGAGGTTAAGATGAGGGAGGTAATTTGTATGACAACTAGAATTTGGGTACAAGCAACTAATTTAATTCATTTCCAGAGAAAGAATATGGGAAGCCCAGATTTTTATGTGAACTCTTCTGATTTTTTGATTAGCATTTTTTAAACACATGTATTGATATATTAATTTTGTGTCAAGCCAAAAAAAAAAAAAAAACCCTATAAAATAAACAACTTAAGGGAGCTGGAACATGCTGGTGACTAGCTGCAACTCCTGCCTTAAATCGGGAAGGTTAAACTTTAATTATAGATTTAAGACTTTCAGATAATGTAGAAGATAAATTCTCTGGAGACTCAGGGAAACACATCAATTAGTTGCTTGAGACCTTATTAAGAATAAAGATGACCTAGAGTATTTGGCATATTGTAATTGTGAATTCACTTTCTCCCACCTTACCTCTCTTTCTATCTCCTTCCCTCTCTCTCCCTCCCTCTTCCTAAGGAAGCAACACATTTTTTTCCAAGGTAATGGGTTAAGGAGTACAGCATAACATTTTTTCCCCCAAGGTCATAGGTTATATCTGATTAAGTCTTCAGGCTATGCTACTTCCCAAGTGTGGTTTTCAGTAGACATTTTGGGAAGGAGGATTGGGCAGGGCAGCTTTACTTTTGAAAATACAATTTATATAGACTGGACACTTTTCTAAATACATACCAAAATTTCAAAAAGTCTACAATATTTCCAAAAATATTTTGGAAAATTGAATACAACAAAGCAATGAAACTTATAATCAAGTAGCTCTTAGAGCTAACATACTAGTCCCCCACAACCCCCGCAACACACACACATACACAGAGCACTCATCAAAGTAGTCAGGACTGAATTAAATCAGGAGCTACACAGCTTATATTTCATAAGAATCTAATTTCAGAATATCCCCTTCAAGATAACTTATAAAAAATAACACCTTCAAATACTGTATTTTTTGCCTTTATGTCATATTTGTGTCATTTTATACCATGGGAATACTGGTCACAAAAACTAAGAGCATCAAATAATCATTAATTAAATCCCATGTGCAGTCATTTAGTTCAAAATTTGGTACTTGGGTTTGTCTAAGACTGGACTAATTTTGGAAAAAAAGTTACATCTTTCTGTTAGACTTTAGACTTTTGGATACTGTATTTATAAACATACCAGGGGATCTGTCATATTTCATATACTTGAGTTCCACAGAGTTATATATTAAATTCCATTATTTCCAGAGCCATATGAGCATAGAATTTCCATTCTATACTGGCATGAACGTATTTTTAATTTGTATCAATTACACAACAAAGGAAATGGAAGGGTGTTGGGGAGTCTCGTAGGTCGTATTATAAACACATTCTCTAAGCAGAAAAGACAAAGATCTCTAATACACTGTTTACTCTTCAGAACAAATTCTATTCTTAATCAACAATAAGAAAAGCATAAATGGATATAACATCCGTGGGTATTCAAAGGATGAGAAAGCAAACACTGGGAGTCTTACATACCTACTCCAGGTAGGATCCTCAAACCAATCCAATGTATCAATGACTGTGCTGTGTGCTGAACTTTCCTTGTAGAAAGAAACCAGATGCCATGTCACCACGAAAGCTGAAAACCAGACAAAGGAGGAGTAAACAAATCTAAAACAAGAAAAAAGAAGCAGCAGGAAACTTGGGACCACTGGATTGTGAGATGGCATTTTAATGAAATGATAGGTTTCATAAATGGAGATTTATTCCAGTGTTTCCCCAAATGAATTTCATCAAGAAACCTTTTCATCCCACAATAACTGTTAGCATCCTGCCACAGGAGTGATCCACAGCAGTTACTAGGGAAGCGACTTGTGTAACGTACTTCTCCACCAGTGACACATCTCACAGACTGTCATATGGTCACATGTTCTCAGTTTGAAACTTTCAATAACTAGGAGTACTTTATAAGCTTCCCTATTAAAATATGCACATAAGGCGCATATATTTACATCACATATAGAAAGTTTGAGTGTCGTTTCTTTCACAAGTTTCATAGCAAATTAGTGAAGAATCATGAACCTGACTAGAACAATTTCTTTCATGGTGGTGAGTATCTGACATTCACTCATCATTCTGATCAATATTTACTGAGTAGATAACAAGAACCAGATATTGGGTTGAGAAGATGAATAAGATTTGGCCCTGCCCTTAAAAACCCAAGTCCACTCGAGTAGGAAAGGCCACACTTGGACCCACAGCAACCCTGAGGAAGAAGTCATTGTATTCACAGCGCAGACAGGACCCATGGGTGAGACAGAAAGCAGAGGGTCTTTAAGCTAAGCCTGAATGGTGAGTAGAAGAACAGACAGACAAAGGGAGATGGAGGCGAGGTGTGGGGAGAAGGGTATTATTCAGGCAGCATGTTCAAACACAGGAAGCTGTGAGGGAGAATGGCATGTTCTGAAAGCTGCCTTATATCGGGTCTACAATAACGTGAGGGAATAGAACATGAACAAAGGAAATGGCAGAACATCCTTTTACAGATTTAAATAACCATAAATCAGCCCAACAGTACAAACACAAGCACCCACCCAAATAACTGTATACAATTTGAAACTATTCCCTAACTCCTGTACACATGTCATCTCATCCTGGACTCAAAAGGTTGAGGGGCCCACCCAAGATCAGAAAGTGATTTGTATAAATAAGCACACTCTTTTAGATTCTGAATGTAAGTGATATCATATGATATTTGTCTTTCTCTGTCTGACTCACTTTACTTAATATGACAATTTCTGGGTCTACCCATTGCTGAAAATGGCACTATTTCATTCTTTTTAATGACTGAGTAATACTGTTGATGTTGCTGTTGGCGTTACAGAAACTAAGTCATTTCTGATTCTTTTGCGACCCCATGGACTGTAACCTGTCAGGCTTCTCTGTCCACGAGATTTCCCAGGCAAGAATATTTGAGAGGGTTGCCATTTCCTTCTCCAGGGGATCTTTCCGACCCAGGGATCAAACTTGCCTCCCCTGCACTGGCAGGCAGGTTCTTCACCATTGAATCATCAGGAAAGCCCATGACTAATACACTTCTTCACAAAACAGAAATAAGACTCATAGATATAGGCAACAAACTTATGGTTACAAGAAAGGAATGAGGGGGAGGGATAAATTGGGAATTTGCAATTAACAGATATGAACTACTATATAAATTAGATAAACAAGGACCTACTGTGTAGCACAGGGAACTTTACTCAATACTGTGCAATAACCTATAATGGAAAAGAATCTGAAAAATTTCATATATATATATGCTATATATATATATATATTGTGTGTGTATACACATATATATGTAAATAAAACATAATCATTGCTGTTCACTGAATCATTGCAAATCAACTATATTCAACACAAAATGTTAATAAAAGAAACTAAAAGAAAACTTCATATAATTGGGAAAAAAATTGATTCATGTAGACAAGTTTAGTCCCCACTCTGTGCAGGGACAGGGGTGTGTGTAACATGTGGAATGATATCCTATTTCATGACATATGTTTTCCTGATTGCTCCAGGCAATTGCTCCAGTTCGGGCTCCAGGCACAACCAAAGTGTTGCCACCATCACCTTTTCTGTTTCCAGTTTTAGGAAAGCAAGCATGGGGTAGAAAGATTATGACTAGTTCATGTGGTTTCATCCCCTGGGTTTTGATATGTTTAAAAAAAGACTTCTTGGTACAGCCATATTGAAGGCAACACTGGCAACTGTGTACCATCCAGCAACTGTGGAGAATCTGGTGGTTGTCTACATTCAGCTCTGATCCTTAGATGCCCTCTGTGTTTGTAACTGTTACATATGAGCCTCACTCAGGCCTCCTGGTTTTTGCTTTTGACTTCATCAGCACTTTAATAACTTTGCTGATGTAGTGAGTGGATAAAAGGGCTTTGCACTGTGGTCAGAGGTTGGATTACTGCATTTATTCAGAGAGGAAAAGAGGGCAGCGCTCATTTGTAACATATGAAAATGGGGAGAGCCAGCACAGACATAGGGGAAATGCAGGTTTAGTAATATAAAAATGGAGAAATCTTGTCTATGACACATACTTATGTAAGGACAAAATCTAAAGAGGGCCTGTGATGTTCTCCAAGGAACAAGAAATATAGCTGCTGAGGTTGGAAACACTGGAGAGGAATTTTTTCTTTCCTCTTCCTCCTCCTCCTCCCACTTTTCCTCTTCCAAACTCCTAAAGTGAAACTGCTTAGAATACATCTTATTCAGTTCAATCTCTCACCATGAAAGTGAGCCTGGAAAATCTTGTGGTAGCCCCCAAATCTCCTTGCCCTCATGAAATAGGATATAAGCTTTTATTTTCAATGCTTTTCCAGTTGAGAAACGGTATGCCTGTTATAGGCTTCCTGAGACCTTATAACATATTAGGAATTATTTTAGCTTTAAAGAAGCATGGTTGCTTAACAAGGCAGCTTCTGCTACAGAGGCTTTTAGAAACCAATCCCAGGCAACAGATGAGCAATAATGCCTAGAAAAGAGACAGACATTAGATGTAAGACAGACAAAATCCAACTGACATCACCATCCAGATATGCAACTTGCAGCAATGCTCTTGTGTTTCAGTTGCTTGACAAACCACACTTGCTACCATAGAAGCAAGCTTGTTCTTGGGTACTGGCAGCAGAGAGCAGATGAAGCAGAAACATTACCCGAAACCAAAACAAAGAAGCAAATAAGCAAATCAGAATACCTCTGAGCAACCTAAAGGAAGAAAACCTGGACAAGTCATATAAATAGAAATTGAACTACACACAAAATTCTAAAATGAGCAATTTATGGAACAATTTTATTCTGAGTATATTTCCCCCTTGTTTGTATGGACAGTTAGGAAATTCAAGGGGTTTTGATAGGTTTGATAGATTTGACCTCTGTGATCTGTGGTATAATTCAGCACTTGCTGGCATGGCAGAGATTGGTTCTCTGCAGAAACCTGACAACTAGCTCCTATAAACTCTGGAATGAGAAATCGGGCTCTATGAAAATTTGTACAAAAAGAACTTGAATGTTTAATCCATTGAAGAAGGAGTCAGGAGCAGGAGGGTTGATGGACTAAATGAGGGAGCCACAGACAGAGGGAAGGAGAATNAGAAATCTCCCATTTCTTCATTTTCTTCATTAAGACATCACACATTTCCTCAACAAGACCTCCTCCACCCCTGAGAAGCCATTTAGTCTCAGCAGGGCAGGGAGAAAGTACTTTTGAAGAAGCAAAAGCTAGTTTTTGCTTGCTGATCTCTATCTAAGAATACGGGTGAGCTAGCAAGTGTTCATCATTTGTCTCAGATGGTATCATATTCATCTCTCTCTAGTCTTGGTCTCACTCCTGGCTTTAGACAGTAAATATCTAGCATTTGCTGCTCCAAAACATCTCCTACCCTCTGGAAGTAAGATAACGGGGTAAAGGCTCCAGTGGCCTTTACCTGGCTCCGGAGCTCTCAGAAAGCAAACAAACTTACTACCTTCCATGTCTGTACATCTCACAAACCACATTCCCTGCCCCTCCCCCGGCAATTGTTTATATATTTGAATATAAAGAGAAATGCAAAATTCAGTGTAATTCAAGTACAGGTCAATCTCTTTTGGATAAGCCAGCCTCTGTGTTAGCCTTCCTTGCCTACTCTTTCAACATGGGCGCGCGCGTGCGCGCACACTCACACACACACACACACACACAGAAGTGTGGCTTCAATAAATGCAGAAGAGAAGAAATAGTTTGTATTTCCAAACATGACTTTGTCTATTTCCTTTGACTTGTGGGACAGATCTCCTTATTTATCTGGGTGCTCCTAACCCTGCTGACATAGTCAAGTTTACCACTGGCATGCATGCCATCTGTTATTTCTTGACTAGTTCAAATTGGGTAGACATTTCTGTTTAACTCGACCTCATCTTATCTCTTGCTGACAGTGTACCCTTCTCAGAGGTCTGACCGTGATGCACCTTCAGCCTTGGGGTGCTGCAGCCCTCAGATAAGAATCATCTTCTCCTACGGGATGGCACCACAGCCCCAGTGACACACTCTCCAGCCCTTTCAGCGTCCTATCCACGCCACACTAGAACTTGAGTTCCGAGGCTTTACTCCGATTGCCCGTGTTACACTGCTAAGTTCACTATGATGCTGGCAAAGGGCTGCATATGAATGAGCTGCCTGTCTTAGACACACCTCCTTCTCACGAATACAAACCTCATTCTCTAGACCCGAAACTCCAAGAGAGAAAGTTGGGAGGCACCTATTAGACTGCGTCACTTTCCTTTCACAGTCATTCTTATTTTGCAGAATTCCTTGGAGTCAGCAAGGGGTCATGTCTTCCTTTTCTTTCTTGGTATTATAATCTCAATATCAGAGAGTGAGCCTACATGTAATAAATTGAAGGGTTTCCGCCCTATACAATAGGACTTCAGTTTTTGAGGCTGACTCTTGATAATCTAATCAATCTATCCTTGATAAATCTAGAGGATGCTTTCTCAAAAAGTAATTGGGATCTCCTCTCATAACCATGACAAAATACAAGGATGGAGTATAACTTACAACCTAGCACTCTCCTATTTCCCCCCAAACCCTAGAAAACTATAAAAAACAAATGAAGTAATTATTTTGAGGGACTGGTATAGGTAGCACGGGGCTGTGATGACAGAGAAAGGAAACCAATAAGAGAAGAAAAACCTATATCTGGGTTCCTTGTTTGGAAGAGGTTTCTGGAAGGTGGGCACAGGAAAGGGAAAGTAAAACACAGCTTGATTGCCTCATTGAACCGAGGAAGTGGTGATCACTGAGGATTCCAGGAATACTATGAAGAAGATGCTCAACAACGTTAGTTACTAGGAAATTAAAACCACAATAAGAGGCCACAATACCACTCAAACAACTGATTACAGAATGTTGGCAAGGATGTGCAGCAACTATAGCGTTCTTACAC